TAGTATGCATGCTCTGCTTGGCTGAAAGGTGTGTTTGCATCAGAGTATAATGTAAACATGGTTGTGACATTATTCTCATTCCCTTGTCCACTGAAATTTGGAAAATCTTTACAAACAAGCTACCGGTATGTCAATTTTTTTTTTCAGGCACTTGCATTTTAAGCGACAAAAATCCGTATTTTGGAAAGCAACTTTTGCAAAACAAGAACTTATTACACGTGCAAGACTTCATGCACCGAACTCTGCGACTGGTAAGAATTTCTCTTTTAATCAGTGCCATAGAGGGTTTTTCCTCAGGAAAGTTAATTTATAAAAGCAATAGAAAACTTTTTTCCTGTATTTGCAGAGCCTGATTTACTGTTGACTGACTGATAGACTGTTTTACTGGTCACAGGAGACAGTGAAAATGTGCTATTTAAGCAGTAGAAATTCCGTGTTTGCAAAGCCTGATATAAACATGAGAGGGGTTGGGAGAATTCGAGACAGTTATGCAAACCCTCGACTGTTGAGAATTCTCCCAACCCCTCTCATGTTTACATCAGGCCTTGCAAACACGGAATTTCTACTGAAAGTATTATACAAGGTACATCAAAGCCAATCCTATTGAGGAACTCTATGAGAGTCCTATTGGATCAACTCTTATACACTCATATGGTCCATGAATCAACTCCCATAGAAGTTAAGGTGGCTTTGTACAATATGGCAGCCATTACTAACTTGTCCAAATGAGTGTTCAGTGTCTCCAAAATCACGTAACAAAATAGATTTAACATTTCCTCACACTTTTCCTGTCCCTCCTCTATTCTAGTTCACCTCCACATCCCCCTACATCAATATTTCATCTATGTTTCTACATACCATAAACGAAGGAGAAAAAGTAGTTACCTTGTAGAAAAACCACCACGTGTCAAGAAGTGCTAAATAAGAAAGCGGAGGCAATGGACTTGAGTACGTCTTAATGTTGCCATTAAGGTTATGCAGGATCCTGTTACCAGTTGTCCATTGGTCATAAACTTCAACATCTAACTCTTGCAGAAGGTTCATAATGTTCTTCTGACTCCTAAACAAAGAATATGAAATAAATCTTGGACCTAAAAAATCTTTCATCAAAATTTCCTCACTGCGAATGTGATAATTTTAAAGGGAAATAATGAAATATTTTAAAGGGAAAAGACACAAATGTTTCTCCATGCATGTATGTTTATATACACATACCAGTACTATTCTTACCTTGCAACCCACTGGCCGCCAACATCCCATCTGTCATTTCCTGTCGCAGTTTTCAGCTCAGCACTGTCAAGTCTACCTCCTACCCTGTCTAAATCAAGAGAAAAAATAGCGTAAAGTTATGGTTATAAGTGACTAAAGGTTGAAGGTCTCAAGAACTTTTGTGTAATATCACAGTCGACAGAGTTAAATCTGTGCAAAACTGGAAGATGGAACTCACATATTCAATAAAGGCACTGCTCTAAAATAACTTGTGGTGAACTCTTTAACTCTCAAACTACATAATCGAGGGTGTCTAGCACATACAATGGGTTATTCCAGAAAAAATCCACACCCCCCCCGACGGATGGGGTCCTTTTTTAACCCCCCCCCTCACCTGGATTTCCTGAAGCACAAGACCCCCCTTCCCAACTGGATTTCCAAGGTGGAAGACCCCCCCTCCCGCCTGGATTTCCGGGAAAAAATAAAAGGCTTAAATTTAATTTATTTTTAATGGAAAATACACGCAAACACGTCTAAATGTTTTTGTTTTAATTTATAAAGCTTCAGCTTATATTAAACTAAGAATTCTAACGCGTGGAACTAAAAACGAAAGGAGCAAAAAACAAAAATGCAAACGACACCTGAACGAGTGTTTACATAATTTCTTAGCTTATAAAAATCACTCTTAAGCTCTTGGCCTTGGGCTCTGGGTGCAGTAGAAATGTGTCAGGTGTTTGACGCTCTTCGTGACAACAACGTTATGACGAGTTCCTTCAGGCCTGTTCTTTAGTATCTTGTTCGCGTTTTCTGCTATAAAAGGACCTGTAAAGCAACTTAGATTATCATTTATGTCAGGTGAGAAATATATGAAGAAAACATTTTGACTATTTTCAGGGTCTGAAAGCGCTTAAGTGTCATCGAACCAAACGTTTGATTTGTATCAACTATCGGTGGAAATGACCCCTGCAGAAGACTTTTTTAAGGTCAACCCCCCCTCCCGCCTGGATTTCCGGAGTCTTCGACCCCCCCTCCCGCGAGAATTTCCAGAATCCCATCCGTCGGGGGGGTGTGGATTTTTTCTGGAACAACCCAATGTGTGGAAAAACTTGAAGATTCTTGTTGCCCAAGATCACCTGAGGCTATGGCAGCAGCAGTCTCAAAAATAAGCAGGTCAGAGTCCTCTACATGTAGTTGCTCCAAAAGATCACTGTCAAGATTGGGTACTGACTGCAACAGCTGGCAGCCATACATCTGGTTTAATAAAGTTCAAGCAAAACTTGGGGAAAAGTATCAAATTCACCAAAGGGAAGGTGGCTGTGGGGTTGAGAGGAGTTTTTTTTTGCCTCATTCCCCCCACTGCTGAGAAACACCCACCCCCTTGTTACAATTGAAGTCAGCTGTTACTGACAGTAAAGTACTTAATTCCAATGATCTTATGAGGCAAAATCAATCCCAAGGGAGAGGGGACAGTGAATGGTCTATCTCAATAACTCTCATACAGCTGCAAACATAAATTAAATTATTTCTGTCAGTAGGATGTAACAAACAATACCTATGCCTGTTTTAACCTTGAATGTAAGCCCCTGTGAGAGTTATCATATGTAAGTGTCAGTATAAAGCTTACGGTAATATGTATTTTCACAGTTATAATAACCGCGGATTTTGCCTGCGTACAATGCTAGTAATAATCCACTTAGTACCCCAGGGCATAACAGACAAATAATTGGCTAGAAGCCTCCAGGGAGTTCTTTTACCTATTTAAGCCAGTTATCCCCAGTTTTTGGTCTCTTTTGCCATAAGTAATGCGATTCTCAGCCGGATTAAAATTTTTTACCCTTTCCACCTTCCCTTCAGCATTATGTGTCCTTCTCTTTTTTCTGTGCCTTACAACTCAATTGCAAAATCTCCCTTCTCATAACTTGGTTTTGTGAATGCAGTTGTTCTAACAAAAGGAATGGCATACTACTGTATGCATGCATAGTCACCCTTCCCTGACTCTCCTCCAAGCATACTTCTTGCCACATATAAAGCAAAACTCAACATTTGTTTGATTTATCTTTTCCATAACCTATTTCCTCTGTTGATATTTTTGAAACAGACCTTGAGAATCCCAAAGAGATCAGGTCTCACTGAAAACAGCTGAGCATTAAATTCCATTTAGCAGACAACACAACCCCTGTCTTGTTGATGAGGTACTTTGACATTTGCCTTTCACAGAAAAATCTGAATTTTGAGTATAACTGCAGAATACCCAGCCACTTCAAAGCTATACTCCTAAAACTATGTGGCTTCATGGCTATGACACTCACTGCTTAAAGAAAGAGGTATGTTACATTTGTAGAAGCTAAAAGTTTTTTATTCTCAATATTTTTGACCAACTAGTTGGATTTTACTAAAACACCCTCATGGCCTCTAAGTCAATAGCCCATGAGGCCGAAGGCCTCATGAGCTATTGACTCAGAGACCATTCGGTCTCAAGGAATAATTGTTAATTATTTTGCAGTGAGCTACATGGCTATGTGGCTATGCCATTACGTGGCTATGTGGTTACAGGTCAAAATTAAATTCAGGTTAAATACTTTTAACCTAGGTTGATTCTCAATTTCCTTTGTCTCCTAGCCCTAATCCTTGCAGGAGACAAGGGATATTGAGAATCAATCTAGGTTAAAAAATTTTAACATGAATTTAATTTTGACCTGTAACCACTGTTTTAGGGGTATAGCTTTGAAGTAGCTGGGCATTCTGCAGTTAAGCCGTGAATTTCCTTCCCAGCAGTACACTGTACAGTACCGCAAATGATCCCCAACCGCAAATGATCCCGAGACCGCAAATGATCCCCAAAATGGACCGCAAGTGATCCCCAAAATCGACCGCAAATGATCCCGAAAGAAAAACAGGAATGACTTGGACTCAAGTTAGCGGATCATCGTGTCGATTTTATTATTATTACAATAAGTCAGGTTAAAAGCTAAATTTTACTTCTCAAATAAATATATGAATAAAAACTAAATGAAAAAATCATTCAAGAGTAAACACGACGTAGGTAGGCAACACACGACTTTTACCTCATGCTAAAATGCTGCTTGTTCCAATGACTTTTTTCCGGCTCTGGCGGGTAGATTACACCTCTGAGGAAAACGTTTTGACTGAGCAAATGTGATTTTTGCTGCTTATTTCATAGTGACAGGTCATGACACGCATTTTCTGCGGTTATTATTGTTTCTGGTCGGCATGATTTGCCCTTTGATGCAAGAGCATTTCCTTTGACCTCTTTTGAAATACAGTGCTCTTCATTGCTGCTAAATGAGGGTTTTAGGTTGTTTAATTTTCTCCTAAGTGCCTCCTGGATCCGAATAATCATAAGCGATTTTCTTTTAGTCCGTGAATGTGACGGTTTCTTAAGATGTTTTGTCACGCGATAACTACCGCTTACCTGGCTTTGCGTTTCTCATTACCAGGTTTAGATTTCTGGTAACTGTCTTCAGCAAAGCACAAGAAATGAATATACATAAAAAAACTTAATATAACTATTCACAACACGTTCATGAGATGTAAGAAAGTTGCTATTTCGAAATGAACCGAAACCTGTGGACATTGATAAGTTCGGGGCATTTTGACTTGTGTTTATGTTAAATCATGTCTTGTTTAAGTAATGGGCACCTAAGTTACGAACAAACGTCTTGCTGTTTATCACATAAAATTAACACTTCAGAGAAAAATCAAAATGAAATATTCTGGCTGATTAATTTCACGCTTTCAAAAAGATCAGTAAAGTCAATAAAGCCCTTGTTAGGTAGAGGGTGCCCGGTTTTGTATTCCTCAATAGAAAGGTTGAGCTTCTAGGCGTTAAAATAATTTTTCTGCGTAACGTCCTGCCTGTCTTAAATTTTTCAAAAGACGAAACATTCTTGAAAGAAAATTTAAGCAATCGACAAAGGAAGAAGTATACGGTTAATACCATACCTTTTCAGATTTATTCCATTTTTTTTTTTTTCGCCTTGTATAAATTGACCTGAGATGTAGCGTCCTCCTTCCCTTTTTCTTTAAAAGGCGAGAGAAAAAGGTTTCTTTTTTATAATCAGTCCTTTTTTGTAATCAGTCCCATAAAATCCATTCCATTCCTCAAGTTTTCACGGGATCATTTGCGGTCGACTTTAGGGATCACTTGCGGTCGAGGATCATTTGCGGTCCATTTTGGGGATCATTTGCGGTTGGGGATCATTTGCGGTACTGTACAACACTCTGAAAAATGCATTGATACACATATATCCCCAGAGAAAAGGCCATCGACAAAAACTGGATCGGAGCGGATCAGATCACAACCTGTAACCCTATCGCTGACCTTTTGTCATTAAGTGAAATACAGGTGGTCCAATCCATATTTTGTTAATACCTCTCAGAAAATGCACCCAATATGCATGTATAATAACTTAAATGAGTTTCTTTCCACCTCTTTTCAGAAAAACTGATCTTCAGTCCTACAACCTTCAAATATTCCTTTTTTTCGTTCACCACTTCAGAAAATCTCGTCAACCGGGGGAAGACTAGCGGAGGTGTGGATAGCCCATAGCAGGGTGAACACCCTGCCCCCGGCCCACGACACAAGCGCTTAATGGCACTTGAAGGAAAACACACTTTCGGCCACGATTCGCAAAATGGGTCATCATGTAACAATCACCCGCACAAATCAAGCCATATGACAGTCAGTTCACTGAATATTTTGGGTTTAAGACAGAACCTTCTGTTATTTGATGAAGCCTACCTTTGGCTTCGAGGACGACAAGTCTTGTTTCAGGACGCTTTTTCATCAATTCGTAGGCAGCAGATAAGCCCGAAATTCCTGCTCCGACCACTACAACATCCACGCTCTCCGACAGGGCAGCAGCCATGAGTATTGTGAACCATATGATGATAATTTCGTGCTTTCGGGGTTCAATTATCAAACAAAATTAACGCAGCGGCGCGCAGTCATGGAAAATTTAATAAAAACGTCAACCAACCGTGAGAAGCCTGGAACTAGTCGTTTGATCGTCGCGGGACACCACGGGACAAACCACGGGACAGTTAGGGTAAAAGTATTTACCCGGGTATTTACCATGTAGCGTGGAGTCACCAATCAGAGAGCGCAAAAAACGCTATCCACTGTTTTAGTAGATACTACAGTAAATTACCCTGGGTGCCACTGACTATTCATACGTGGTTTCCCGCTGAAACAGAAGCATTCAGTCGCTCGTGAGAAAAAATCTCTGGTACCCAGGGTAAGACTAAATAGCACAAGGCAAAAAGGCATATCACAAACAGAACTAGACTTCTGATACAAAAGAGAAAACTGATTTATTCGGATCATTGATATATGAAGCGAAAAAATCCAATACAGCTGTAAACGTGGCAAAGCAAATCGATGTGATTGTCTCTTGAGACTGTGTTTTGCTTTTCATTAGCAGCAGGGACATAGCTTCTTCTTGATCATTTTCAAAGCAAGCTAGAGGAAAGAGAAACAATTGATTATTATTTGAAAATTAAAACTAGCTAGAAAAACACGAAAAAATGACAAAACAAGAGGGTTTTTTTTTAATTATAAAATAACAATCGGTTACACACACACATTGTGTGGGCTCCCTGTGTTTTGACAAACTTTGTGGTGTTTGATATTGTGAAATTAACTGATTTTCTTCTCAAACAAAGCGATTTTAGAAAAAAAAGGCCTGTTATTTAAACGGAGTTTAGCCCGTGTTTAATACGTTGTAAGCCATTTCCCGTTTTTCCAACGCTTTTATCTAAACATTATTTATCGTAATTAATTATTTTTATGTTCATTCACTGTAAATGATTTACCTTGATTGTGGTACAAATGGAGGGTTTTGGTACCCCGGACGGCAGTTTGCGACGCAAGCAACAAATTAGAATGCCGAACGCCAGAAGAATCAGAAATATAACACCTGCAATGCTGCAATGATAACATGCAAAATCAACATTAAACACTTCTATTGGTGGGCAATGAGATTATGAGAAAATATTTTGGTGAAATTCTGACATAAAAGAGACGGCATTTTTTCAAACGGATTGTGGAGCGCTAGCCCTAAAATTAAAAGTCTGGTTAAGTCCGTCCACGAGCCAGCTCCGAAATCCTTGGGCGCTTTCCAAAAAAAATATAATTATAATTTAATATAATTATAATTTAATATAATTATAATTTCACAGACCCGAACCAAGCCACCGCACGTATGGTTATTGTACTTGCAACCTCGTCCCAGGGTCTTCTCGTCGCCACTGTTACAGTGATATGGGCATCCCTATTCCCAAAACCCTAGTTATATTGGCATCCCTTTTCATTTCACCTAAGCCATTTGGGTTAGGGTTACAAGGCATGCACATATCACTTGTTTTGGGAATGGGGATGCCCATATCACCATATCACCGCCATATTGGAAGACGACTGGGGACGAGGTTGTTGTACTTGCAAGCAAGATACAGAAAAGCGGTACAGGGGACATCAATTTTGTCAAAATGAAAAGGGACATTTCGTTCCAACCAACCAAAGGTGGTCCCAAATATTTCGGGTGGACGGAACCTTAATGGAAAGCGTCCCTTCTTGTGGGCCCAGGATTTGAGTAAACGCCATGGTTGGCTTGTTAAAAAAGCCCCTGTTCAACTGGGAATTCATTGAGTCCGTTCACTGCGTTGGGAGCCAAGAACAAGGCTCTCGGCGCTACTTCGCAGACGTTACTAACCAAGATTACGTCTGGGACGCGGTTATAGAGCGCTTGCCCAAAAGTAACCACAAAACCCTGTTTGTGACTTGTACTCACGCAATACCGACGATAGCTCCGATACTAAGGCCTCCTTTGTCGTCAGAGCTGGATTCGTACTGTATCCCCGCATTTCCCTTGATCCCTAGGGAACACTTCCCTGGGCATGCGCAGACGCTATGTAATGATGTTCTCTGCAAAGAAAGAACCAATAAACAAAATAACAGTCAACCCTTCGGTTCTTGCGTTTAAGTGAGCTGTCCTGGTGAGATGTTATGCACGAGTAAAAGAAATCATGTATTGTGACAGGTCAAAGACAGTTTTTCATTGGTACGTTAGAACATAGTTAATAAAGCGGAAGTGGTTATGAATCCTTTGTTATATGTTTTTGTTAGCTTTTTTAGACTCGACTGTACACGAAGTTCAATAGCATTCCTATCATTTTTGGCATTTTGAACTTACTGACCAATAGAAACGTCTCATTCAGTCACAACTTGTGAACAAAAATCAAGGGATATTGTGCATGGTCAGGAAGCAAGGGCACCCAACGACAATTTTCGGAAGAATATCTGTTCGGAAGACTATTTAAGATCTAGAATTTTCGAAACATTTGTTGTAAAATTTCTTGCTTGCCTGCCTCTCCTAGGATTTTCGAACATCTAAAAAATGGTATAATTGCCTATTTTTAACGGATTTTTACCCTAAAATGGTCACCTAGAATTTTCGGGAGCCTTTTTTCAGGCTGAAATTTTCGAAAAGGTAAGTTTTGATCCCTATAATTTTCGGATCACTAGACTTTCAGCTGGGAAATCCGAACAGATGAAAAATTTTTAGGGGATAAAAATATGCCTATATCTACCGTTTAAATACTAAAATACGTTTAACAATGCTATGTTTAAGTGGTTTTGAACTATATTCTCGTTGGGTGCCCCTGAGGAAGCTTCCAACATTAACTGCAGCACCGCTGTTTTCTTGTTGATGTTTGTCGGCTTCCCAACCAAGTTTCATCTACTATCTAGGTTAGAATGATACTAATTATCTTCTAGGACTTTGAATTTTGGGGGATTGTGCTACTCGAAAAGTTTTTCCGCGCTCCCTTAGTGGACATGTGGACGTGTTAACTTTACCACCTTGCCTTCGGTTACAAACCCTAGACTTACAGAACGTCGTAAGCGGTTTTGCGAAGATGACCAAGGCTGATATATCCAGGTAGCATTAAACGCGGGTATAAAAAATGTTAACAAATCCCTGGAGCTGGAAAACTGAGATACTATAGAGACAAATATTTCGTTGCATCGAAAGACGTTTCTCATTTTGGATACGTTTACGTTAAAGAAGATTCCAGGATTCAGCAATCCGCTTTCAGTAAATTACTTACGAAAGACGAGGAATCGGAGACCATTGGGTCCACTCTTCCTTCTTCTGTGGCGCTGCAGACTAGGGAAATCGTAGTTCTGCGAGAGATGATAAACAAGAACCAAACTGACGGAAGGAGCACTTGAATTGCCAAAAAAGGTGAACTAAAAAATGGGACTAAAACTCCCCAGGGGTACTCCCTTATATAATACAAAAAGGTATATGCCGCCCGAAAGAACATTGTTTTTGTGCGCCGTTTCGGTAAGAAAACGGTATGGTTTCCGCGGGAACTACGAAAGTGTATGAAAGAATTTGTCCTTTAAATTCCAAACGTATTACGTAACAAAGAAAGAGTAATATGCGAATTCAAAATGGATTTTGAGGAATCTTTTTGTTAGCGTTCTAGTCTAAGTAACGATGACAAAATTTCTGCCAATGTAAAGGTCTGAAAAAGGGTGTAGAAAATGACCTTTTTGGTCTGAAACAGGGTCAGGATTTGGAAAAACGGGCGGCACACTCCCCCCTCTAAGAATTCCCAGGAGTAGCTAAAACTCTCCCTTTTCTTTCCCGCTCCGGAGGCTCCCTAGGGAATTTGTTCGAAGGTTAGAATAATGATAAATCCAGGAGAAATCAAATATCACTTATTTACATTTTATTGCTTCCTTCCACTCCATACGTCAACTGAC